TCACCTGTGAGACAAATGCCCATTTATCTTTCCTGGACACAGATGTCACAATTTCTTTGGGGTGTTCCTTGGTTCACCAGGAATTAATGTATTCTTGTAGTACTTAGATTATATCTGTTTCAGAACACATATGCTATTATTTATTTTACTAATCTATCTTTTCTCTAAGGGTGTGTATTCCTCAAGGGCAGAACTTTGACTTGTTCTCTTTGTATTTCTAACACTTGGGACATGGTAGTACAGGAGTTCAATGGCGATTGGACTGAACTCTCCTAAATTTCTTTTGGAATAAAGAACAAGTCTTAGTAGTCTGCCTCATTTTCCGAAGAATGAACAAAAGAACCCAAACCTTTGACTATCGTATGGAAACAGCTGAAAAGTTCAGAAAAATACTCCACAAAAGTAAAAATAATAAAAACAAATTTAATATTAATATAATAAAAATACTATTAATTACTCACTGAAAAATACAATAATATCCGTTCTAGAGCTTCTGAGTAAAGTGCCTTATATCCCTAGTTTAAATAGTGAATATAAACTAATCTTAATAAAGAATTATAATAATTCAGTTTCTCAGAGGCAGAGGTTTTCCAGGAGCACTAGAAAGGAGCAGCCTTTCAAAACTTGAAAGAAAAACTGAGAGAAGCAAGGAGATGTAGTGCTGCAAGGGAGGGGCAGGGGGAGGACGAGGGGGAGGAAGAAATGTTAAATTGTCCTAAGGAACAAGAAAGAAATGAAGGGAGGAAATAAAAGCAAGACATTCATTCTCTGGCTATTCTAAAATTCTCCCAGCCAGTCATGGTGGCTCACACCTGTAATCCTAGCACTCTGGGATGAGGCAGGAGGATCACTTGAGCTCAGGAGTTTGAGACCAGCCTGAGCAACAGTGAGATCCCGTCTCTACCAAAAATGGAAAAAATTAGGCAGTTGTGGTGGTGCATGCCTGTAATCCCAGTTACTCAGGAGGCTGAGGCAGGAGGATTGCTTGAGCCCAGGAGCTGGAGGTTGCAGTGAGCTATGATGATACCACTGCACTCCAGCAGGTGAAAGAGTGAGACCTTGTCTCAAAAACAAATCAAAACAAAACAAAACGAAAATTCTGCCATGCTGGAGGCATCTGCTGTAATAAACATATTCTCATCTTTTCCAGGCCAAATTTGGATTTGGCCAGCATTGATGCCTGTCTTCACTCTCATTTTTCTAACTTATTTTTAAGATTAATATTTGATTTTACAGAAGAAAAAAAGATGGGGAAAAAAAAACAAAACCCTTCATCATCCTCTCCTTCCCCTGCCTTTTTTTTTTTTTTTTTGGCAAAAATGTAATCCTTTGAGAATTGTTGCAGGAAATGCAATGTATCCAGACCATGAAGTCTGAGAAAAACAAAATTCTTTTCCTATTTTGTGATTTTTAAGAACCTCTGTTATCATTACCAATTAAAAATGACTGATGAAATACCTATTTTTCATATTATTATAAAGATTTTTCTTCTAGCAGCAATCTTAACACTATGAAAGTAGGTTTATTTGGATTCCATCAACTAGAACTACCTTCGAACTGTCACACCTACAATAGGACAAATAGGGTCCATTATGTTAGTGACGGAGGCAAAGCCAGCATTCAAGGAACTTCTAAATTTTCAGAGAAATGAAAAGTGTATTTAGTGTCATTAAGTACTTAGTATGCATTCTATTAGAAATATGTGAAAATTGGAAACTTACAAATAGTTATGTAACAATAATTAAACCATAACATCCTGGCCTTGCCCCCTCCAAGCCAAAGCTTAATGAAGTATCCTTGCTGGATATATGGGTCAAAACAGCCAGAGAAATGAGAGGGTATGAGTGATGCTAATTCACTATCTTTAAGCAAAAAGACAGAAAATGTTCCCAGAGGTATGTTTCATAAATTGGGACTCATTTGAAAAACCCTATTATAGTTAAAAAACAAGAAACAAACATGAGCTTTGATATCAAACTGAGTTTTGATATGAGAACTGAGTTTGAATTCTGGCTCTGTCATTTACTAGCTAAGCAGTATAGATCCTTTCTAAGCCGTATTTTCTTATCGTAAAATGGAATAAAACTTTGTTGAGTTGAATTAGGTACTACAAGCCAAATGGATCATCTTGTACATAGTAAGAATTCAATAAATATTAGCTCTCTTGATTATTCCTGTCACCTTCCTCTGGACTCCTGTTCTTCACCACGTTCTATTACGTAAACAGGCTTATACAAGAAATATTAGGCTTTGACATGAAAAACACACGTAATAAATTTCGGTTAACTCGTACTGGGTGGCAGGGCTTGGGGGAAGAATTAGTGCTGGAGTCCAGTGGTGGCAGGAAGGTCACCACTTAGGAGATAGCTCAGGAAATTCTGTGGCTCTCTATGCTTTAATGTTTACTTTCTGCTTCTCCAACTGATTAGGTAAGTTAGGTTTACACAAATGACTTTTTCAGGTAGTGTTAGACAGATTTTCTGATTGCTCTGCCCTCAATTTACTTGCCATGAGCTTTTATATTTCAAAATGGAAATAATAACTTGGTCTAATTATTTTATTACAGTTGGATAAGCTAGTGGATGTTCAAAGTCAAAGACAAAGACAAAATTTAACAATAAAGAAATTAAAGAACTGTAAAATCAGGTAGACAAAAATGTAAAATTTATATTTCTTCAAGCTGAGAAATCATGCTTTACATCTCACATTTTGTCCTAATGTATTTATAAGAGAATTAGTTTAATTATATATTATAAACTAATTGGATACATTTTGTAATAACATAAAAGGTAACCTATGCACTCCAAGTGTGGACAATTCTTGATTAATAATTAACAGTCCTGAAGGAAACTTCTAACAACATGGGTGAACCTCAAAAGCATTATGCTCAGTTAAAGAAGCGAGACACAAAAGAACATATACTGTATGATTCCATTTATATGAAATATCTGGAAAAGGCAAATTTACAAAGTAGATTAGTGGTTGTCTGGAATGGGGAGTGACTGTAAATGGGCATGAGGTTTCTTTTTGGGGTGACAGAAATGTTCTAAAATTAGCCTGTGGTGATGGCTGTAACATTCTGTAAAAAATAAAATAATTAAAATATATATACTTAAAATGGGTTAATTTTGTAGCATATACATTATACTTCAATAAACCTGTTCATAAAAATAAATCTGAATGGCTAGATACTAGAAATTTTTACATGCTGAAAGAATTGAGAATTTTGAAGAGAAAATGTGTTTCTACTGAGCACGAGCACCTGCATGACACTCTTATTCTGAAGTAAGATGATAATGCAATTTAATGCAATTTACATTGCCTTCCTGAATTAACAAATCCAACGTGCACCAATAACTTCCCATAAGATACAGATTTAGAAAATATCCACAAAATTAGTGTGATGTACTTTCTCTAAGCCCTCTGTGTCAGTTATCAATGAAGTACCTCCTTCCTCCAAAGCTATACTTTTTTGCCCTGCTTTGTGATACTGGAATTGGATCTTATAAACATTTCTCCTTTGCCAGCAGGCACAATATTAAGCTCTGTCAGTAAAAGGCGTTAAAGGGACACCGAAGTAAGAAGTAGCTTCTCCTCCTGTTTCTGGTGTGCTTTTTCCTTCTTGCTCCTGCAGCAGGTACCTGCTAGTGGTGTGTGGGACACCCAGAATTGCTTACTATCTATAAAGTTTCAGTGGTACTCCAATTGGTGGCTTCCTATCAAGTTTCACTGGCACCCCAGAAGCCTCACTGGCATCCTAGTGGGTAGCTTCCCAGCAAGTCTTACCAGCATTCCAGCAGGCGGTTTCTTGCTTGCCAGTCTTGGTCTGTGGCATCTCAATGAACTTCTATGCCATCCAGTGGCCAAAACAACACCTCTTCAACAAGATCTGAATCAGCCTAGTTCCTTCCAGGGAGGGGCCCTCTTCCAAGCTGGGTACTACTCTGCTTCAGCCCTAGAAGTAGTAGCTGTTCCCTATATCCTATTCCTATATTTTTTAGAATTCCCTTTATCTCTTAGTAGTTAATCCCCTGTTACTACTTAATAACTCCTTACATTACAATTTCGCTGTTCAAGTTACTAGTGTGGCTTCTGGCTCCTGACTGGACCTTGACTGATTCACAACCAAACCAAACCAAGCCAACCCAACACAAACCAAGCCAAGCACAAATAATCAAATCCATAAACTCACCCCTAATATGTAAGTTTGCATTATGAGTTTCATAATACATAGAAACAGCATGGCATTTAGCCAAACTTGTTAACTTACTGCCTCCCAAAGCAGACTATGCATGTGGCTGAACAGTGAGTCAGCCTGCTACTACAAGTTTATTGTTTCTTCTTGCACATTTCAAAAAGATGTATTAAATGCATTGTTCATCGTGTGGTTATCTAATTCTTTACAAGTCTTTCACAGGAAAAGAGAGAATAAGGAGAATCTGCTAAATTTGTTCACTATAAGAACTAATCTATTTATCAAAAGGCATTCTTAAGAGAACTGTAATAAATGACAGAATTTTAAAAATCACTTTGAACATTCCAGAAAGTTCTCAGAAGGTTCACAGAAATTGTCAGTAAAGTTAAACTCTAATTTCTGTCTCAACTGATGTCATTCATTCAATAAATATTTACTGAGCAGCACTGGGATATAGCAGCAAAGAAGACAGACAATATCCTAGCCTCATGGAATTTACTTTCTGTGGTAGGGGAAAAAACAAACATGTAAAAAAAATCAATACATAACATAATTTCAGGTGTTATAAAGTACGATAAAGAAAAATAAGGCAGGAATGTAATGGGTGTGGGTGCGACTTTAGGAGATGATTTAGTGTTCTATATTAAATTTCCTACACATAGCATGCAATAAATATTATAATAAATATAACCACAGATATGTCTTAGGGATATTAAGAGGATAGCATTTATGTAGTTCCATAGTAAATTAAATTGAATACATTTTTATAAATCATAACAAGCTTATATAGACCAATGAAACTTACCCTATAGAAAGCACTAGTCAAAGGGAGTAATGCTGCAGCAATGTTATATTCTTCTAAACTTGAACAATCCTTAAACAAAACAAAGACAAATGTGATTAGGATATTTATCAGAAATCACAAATATATGGAAACCAAAATCTGGGATCTATTATAATATTTACTGTCCTGTAGGTTTTTCACTTCTATTCCCAAATTGTCACTAAGGTATAATTAGGTAAGCTTGGGGGGGGGGAATTAAAAAAACCTGTCCCTGAAGCATACTCTTTTAGAAATGAGGTAAATGTACATCTGAGAAAAGTATCATTTTCATAAACTATTGGTGAGCAGCTACCTTTACTTTCCTGTTCAACAAAGATTGTGTTAAAAGATATATAATTTACATAAAAAATTTTGGAACGGGTTTTGGTATATCTATCTACTGTACTTAATTGAGTTTAAGATACATTTCTTTTTCACATTTTAACATCTCTGAGATTGAGATCATCTTATAATTGATTGGAAGTATTTTTTCTTTCTTAGTGTTACATAAAAAGGGTATCTTGTAGATCGGACAAAAAAATCACCGATGCTAAAACCCACTGAGTGAAATGTTGTTGGGGAACAGCATAGTAAGAAAATCTCAGTGGGAATGTAAAATGGTGCAGTTTCTGTGGAAAAAGTATGGCAGTCACTCAGAAAAAAAGAGGAAAATTAAATGATTATATGCTCCAGCAATTCAACTTCCACATATATACCCGAAAGAACCGAAAGTAAAGATTCAAACAGGTTTTTGTACATTCATGCTCATAGTGGCAGTATTCACAATAGTCAAAAGATGGAAGCAATCCAAGTGTCTGCTGACAGATAAATGAACAAAATGCAGTGTGTGTGTGTATGTGTGTGCACACACACATACACACACAATGGAATATTAGCCTTAAAAAGGAAGGAAATTCTGACACGTGCTATAACAACATGGATGAACCTCAAGGATATTATACTAGATAGATATTTGTATACAGTTATACTAACTAGTCCTTCCTCTGTCAGGCAGAAGGGCACAATGTGAGCCATACGGAGGCAGACCTGCAATACTGCCCAAGGGCAGCAAAAGCTGCAACTGACCCTCTTTGTAGAGGGTCGACTACAGTGATTAAAGCCCCACTTTTGGACAATGTGGTTATCTCCATCAAGATGTAAATTCCTCATCAATCAGTTATTTCATGTTTATATGAATTGATTTTAAATTCACAAAGCTGAAACTTTAGATATCAATTATTCCAGTGCAATTCCTCTACTTTCCAGATTAAAGAGGCAGATAAGTCAGCCATAGAGTCATGATTGGAATCTAGATTTATCTACCCATCAGTGTGGTATTTTTTTCTCCAGACACTGCCTTTTGTACTTGATTGCTTTCCTTCTATTTCTGAGGGAGGGGATAAGAATTTTTTGAGCTTCTAGCACTAATTTTGGAGTGTGAGGGTGGGAGAATAGGCCTAAACAGGAGAGCAATGGGAGGTGCACTGGTAGCAGGGACAAGTGCTCCAGAAAATAGAAGGGAGAGTCAGGGGACAAAGTGGAAATACAACATAGACAACCATTGCCTATTTCAAAATACTACTGGGGATGGGGAGGGTGTAGTACTGCCTTGAGAAAATAGGAAGAAATGGGCTTTCATATCTCATGGCCTAGAAGTGGCAATATACTCTAAAGCCAGTCTTGTTAGCATGAGTACATTTGGTACTAGGATCTGCTAAAAGAGTTTTCAGTTGAATTTCATGTATTGTCAGTTCTGACAAACACAGTTCAGAATGCAATGAATGTTCAATTCCAGGTAGTATTGAAACAATCCTGGTTATAAGACAAATTCCTGCAACAGAAAGTCATTCTCATATAGCTCACATTCTCTGATCCAATTTAAAAAACAAACTAAAAGATAGGCTCAAATTTCTTATACTATACAAAAAATAATACTTTCAATTAATTCATCACATTGAGTAAATGTTTATTGGATAAAGGAATAAATGCAAGGAGAGTAATGAGGAAAAGGAGCTAAGGACAGAAACTTGGGAAAGATATATATTTATGCAGAGGGGAGTAAGGGAAAATCAAGATGGGAAAGGAGAATTAGGTGAGAGCAATATCCCAGATGTCAAGAGAAGAGGAAATGACCCATAATGTTACAGAGGAAATTTAGTAAAATGCTTCAGAGGAAATTTAAAATGAAGATTGAGGAAAAAGCCAAGAAACTGGTGAATAAAAGAGATCATTGGTAACTTCTGACATGATTGAAGTAGGTGAGTTGAGGAAAACAAAAGACCCTGACTGTAAATGTTCATAGTCGTAAAGGAAATTAAGGTAATAAGATGGTCACTTAAAGAGTCACTTAAAGAGGTTTTTGTATCTAAATGGGTAGTTTAATGAATCTTGATAGTGCTGAACCAGATGAATACTAAGATTTTATTCAATCCTTTGATGCTGTGAGAATTAGAAGGGTCCCGATTACACCAAGAAGGAAAATCCAGTGGAGGAGAGAGAGGAAAAAGAAAGATCACTGGTAGAGTAAGGTCTCTCAGCTATGTCCAGTAGTCAATATGGTCCCCATTTCTAAAGCAGGGTTAGATTCTGGAAACATCATATTTACATAAAAAGCAAAAATGTAGAATTTATATTAAATAGCAGGATCCCAAAAAATAATAGCAAATATAACTTATGAGGAGAAAGAAGCTTGGCTCTGCAAAGAAAATTCAGGCCTTCCTAAGAGTTTTCTTTATGAGGGACAGAGAGAGTGGGGGAAGCTCCTTAAACTGCTCTGTCAACACTAGCTCTGTAGGGTATTGATAGCTATTACTTGGGGGAAAATTGGGGAAATACTGAGTAAATAAAATTAAACAAGTTTTTCTTCTATTTTCTAAAAAACTGCAGGACTTCTCAGCGTTTTTAACTGTGAATCTACGAGGGGAATTTGGTAGGCAGCATTACCAAACCCAATTTCACTAAGAATATTTTTAAAGAAAGCAGTGGTAGAATATATTTTGGAAAATGATAATTTAAGATCATCAAAAATCTTCTGAGAGAATTCCAACCACAAGATCATTTTAAAATTTAGTTATGGACTTTTATTTCTAGACTTTTAGTCATTTTCATATTATGACAGGAACTTTTGCTGAAGATAATTAAAAATGATAGATAAAATATTTTAAAACATTTAATGCAAAGCAATGAATTGGCAAGAAAACAAGGAATACTCAGACCGAAATGTAAGTAGTAACTTAGAGAGAAAAACAGAACACTGAAGCTAAATTTTACCTTTGGAAGAATTTGGTGAGCAAATCTGAGTATTAGTTTTGAACTCGAGGGACTCAAGGGATAGAAGACAAAGCCTAGCACTTGAACTGGACTAGTAAGGCCACCTAGGCCACCAGATGGAAAGTCTGAGATGTAAAACGATAATTGAGCAAAAAAAGTGATAAATATGTGGGTAAATCTAAATATACATTCACGTATAAAAATGACAATATTGTCTTTTGGTAGTAAAGAAAATTAAGATACAGCTAAAATATACAACCATGATAGCACAGACTTTATAAGGGGTGGATTAGAGTTGGATTTTGATAAATTAAGTGAGCTTTTTAAATTTCTGTATTATCATCAAAGGAATAGAAATAGAATAGTTTATAACTTCCAAACTAGTGAAGGAAAAAATGGAATAGGAAAAAAACTCTCAAAACCTCAACCCAAATGAAAACAAAAAAGAAGAGGAAAAGAAACTTATAAAAGGGAAATAATCAGAAAAGTACCAAATAAGATGACAGGAATAAATACAAATATAATTGCACAAATGGACCAAAGGTTCTGGTTAAAAGACAAAGATTGTCAATTTAATCAAAAACAGAATCTAAATATTTGTTGTTTAAAAACAACAAATTTATAAGGTAAGGATACAAAAAATTTAAAGGATGAAAAAATATGTACCAAATACCAAAAGAAGTTGGGGTGGCTGTATTAACAATCAGACAAAATAATCTTTTAGGCAAAAGGCATGAGTAGATATAAATAGAAGCACTACATAATGATAAATAGCTCAATCTACCAGAAAGATATAATGATTTTAAATGTGTATAAACCTAAATAACTTAGTCTCAAAATATGCAAAGCAACAATTGACAGATGCAAGAAGAAAAATAGATAAATTCATAATTGTATTGAAAGATTTTAATATATCTCTTAGTAACTGACAGATCAAGCGAGTAAAAAAAACCAGTAATCCTATAGAAGATTTAAAGAAATACTTTAAAAGTTAGAGCTAATATACATACACACACACACACACACACACACACACACACACATATATAAAAAACAACTTGATGTAATGGACACTGTACTCTTAACACTGAACTCACAATTGTTCACAGGGATTTAGAAAAACTGATCTCATACTGGGCCATAAAATAAGTGTCAGTAAACTTCAAAATCTTTTGAATCATACAGATACAGTTGTCAGATCACAATGCAATTAAGTGTCAAATCATTAATGCATGTAAAGTACTTAAAATAGTACCTGGCACAGAGTACATACTCAATAAATGTTATCATTATTGTAAGGCTGGTGGTGGACACCCCTCCCCTCCCTAAAGAAAAAAAGAAAAGCCCACAAACAACTGCCAGGCTCAGCTGAGTTAAAAAATAACCACACCCGGACGTTCACCCGGATAAAAGAAGTTTCCGTCCCTGGGGTCCACAAATACCACCGGCCCCTCCTACTTCTCGACACCCACCCTAAAACTGCAACAAAGAACTCCCCACTTTTCACGCCAAAATTCTTCGCCCAGAAAACCCCCATCCCCCAACTCTAAAACATATATAAGCCCGCTCAAAACTCTCAGGCGGCGCGACTTCTCGGGCCCCACCTCTCGGGACCGTGAACCTCGCCCGGGGAACAGAACGCTCTTTTTCCCCTTCCCCCAATAAAGCCACGTTGCTTCTTCATTCTCTTCGTCTTTTCTTTCTCCCCGCCGCTAAAAAACTTTACAATTATTACCACTGAGGCTAGAAATGCTTAGCATATCACAATATATTGTAATTAT